CACGTGTTGCATCATTTTCAGAAGATTCCCCAATCATAAAATTGGTTTCTATATTCTTATCTTTTGATTTCTGGGAATTGTTATAATTATCAACAACTTGTCTCGGAGCACAACAATTTCGCGCCCAATGTCTCGTCCTTCCACATCGATAACATGCCTTTTCATCATTATTCTCCGTCACATTATTTTGTTCAAATTTTGGCTGGAAATTTCTCCCCCTTTCAAAATTTTGGGCATAGTTATAGCCTCGCCCACGATTATATCCCCGACCTGAGTTATACCATCGGTGAAATTTGTGGACTTGGTCAAATCGACGATCTGGACCATATCCACGGCCACGGCCACGTCCACGTCCACGACCCCGGCCACGTCCCGAGGTATATCCACGCACATATGTTTGGCTATTTTTCAGTTCCGGTTCCCTGTTTAGATATTACAACATTTATTTCAGGGACCACAGTAGACCCCGTGGGTCTAGATTCATGATTTTTCATCAACAACTCGTTATTTTGTTCAGCCAGCAGCAAACAAAAAAGTAACTCAGAATATTTTACAAAGCCTTTTGCTCTGTATTGTTGCTGCAATAGTACATTTGAAGCGTGGAACGTGGACAACGTTTTTTCCAGCATATCGTAATCAATTATGTTTTCTCCGCATAATTTCAATACCGAGCAAATGCAGAACATGGCTGAATTGTACTCGTTTACAGTTTTGAAATCTTGGAAGGGTAAATGCATTCATTCATAACGAGCCCGGGGAGAATCACCGTTTTCTGGTGATCATACCTTTCTTTCAAGGCTTTCTAGAGATCTGCAGGATCTTTAACAGTTAAATATTTATTTTTCAATGCCTCATTCAAATGATGCCTCAGAAATATCATTGCTTTAGCTTTATCCTGTATTGATGAATCATTTGGGGAGATTATTGTTTTTTCTAATCCCCTTGCCGCCAAATGAATTTCGGCATCCAATGTCCATGAGATATAATTTTTCCCAGATATATCGAGAGCTTCAAATTCGAGTTTGACCAAATTTGCCATGATAACTATAAAATAAAACATCAATGCTTAGATTCGAAAAATTACATATACAATCATTAATTCTTCAATACATACAAAAGAGCAAATACTAAACACATAATGCAAAGGCCTAATACATAAAATTTAAATCCAACAGTACGATACATCATCGTGAAAATTAGAAAAACGTATATAATAAACAAGATAATGGTAATTATAAGTAATGGATCAAATATTTTTTTTTCTTATAAAGAAAATATATTTTTGAGCGTTTGGATTATGAAAATGAATTGTAGTGTTATATATATAGATATTGGTAAATAGCCGTTAACTAGCCGTTGGAAACAAATTTAATGATATAATATTTTCTAATTAATCATTTATGATCATAAAATTCTAATTAATCATGTATATTACCTTAAAAATTCACCGAGTCATTACGCAAACAATTTAATAAATAACAAATGTCACTCCACACTACTCGATAAATCTTTCGGTGGGTACAAGAATAAGCAGTTATAATGTCACGCCACATTACTGGTTAAACCATTTTTGTGGGTGTTAAGTATAAGTAATAATATTTATTATAACTTGAATAATAATTCATAAACAAATTTAATAATAACATATCACCACATATTAATGACTATGGCATAGCCTAATTTACCAATAATAATGGTAATGTGAAGATAATATCATATTTAGTATACATATCTTGACTGTGGCAGAGCCTAACTTGTCAAGAATAATGGTAATATATATATATATATATATATATATATATATATATATCTTTGACTGTGGCAGAGCCTAACTTGTCAAAAATAATAGCAATATGTATATATATCCTTGACTGTGGCAGAGCCTAACTTGTCAAGAATAATGGTAATATGTATATGTATCCTACCTTTCTTGACCGAGTAGAGCGTTCGTGCTGATAACGTGTTGTGAAATGCGATGAAAATATAAAGAACACAATGTATAAAAATCGGATATAACTCAAACTGTTCTTTCTTTCACTTCTTTTTCGTACAAACACTACAAGGCTTTGGTCACCTTTTATAGGCAAAATATAGGCACACATTTCTATACATAATAATAATTTTAATGTAGATGATAAGATGAAAAGATAATTTTTGTTAATAGTGGTAAATCCACTTGTTCCTAACATAAATAATATAAAGAACAAGGGAGTGTTTTTTCGCAAAAGTGATGTTGTGGAGGCACCCAAATAAAAAATTGGTGTCACTACACGTGGATGGAAATTCTGTCCTCCAACTGCATAGCATGAGATCTCAAATGTAATACTAGTTTTAACACTCTACTTTACTATTAAAAAAACTAGTAAAATTGCCTTCTAGACGATAACCAATCACGCCCTAAATGTCTAATTGCCTATTGTCATGTCTAACAACTATAACAATTAAATGGATAGAATTGAGAGAGCATGAATTTAACACGGTAAGATATTTTTTTTAGATTATACTACTCATTTACATCTTACCTGTAGTTGTTGAAGTTGTTTATAATTGAAAACGAATAACTAACAGGTATAACAAAAGTTTCGCCACGAAAAAAATGATGAGCTTGAAAAGTATGCGCCCGATACTCAAGAGAATTGTACATTAGGTACTTCTGCTTTTTTCTTTCCCAAATAAAATTACTTGAATATTAATAAAAAAGAAAGGAATTGCCGAAACCAGACAAAAATCGTCGGGTGGTTCAATGGACCGGCGATGTACACGGACAGATTCTTGGCCCAAGTTTTGAGGCCCAGCAACCCGCCGAGCCAGGCTGGGTCGTAAACCGACCCACCATTTGGCCACGTCTAGCCCCGTGGGCATGTCTATGGCTTTGTTTGGTAGATAGCAGTTAGCTGATTGTAACAACTGTTTTGACCAGCGGATTGTATCAACTGATTTGACTAGCGGACAGTAATAGCGGTTTTCAAAATTATGTTTGGTAAAAATAGCTTATTGATTTGTAAAAATATATTTCGGATTATTAATTTCAATTTTTTATATATAAAAATATACATTTTTTATATTCCTTTGTTAAATTTTATACTCATAAAAATTATTTTTCAATATAATAAGTATTTTTAAATTATTATTTTTATATTTTTTATAGTAAAAGTAATAAGTGAAATAAAAATACAAATTAAACATAAAAGTAAGCTATTTTTTCATATTTTTTATAGTAGAAGTAATAAGTGAAATAAAAATATAAATAAAAACCTACAAATAAATGATTTCAAAATATTAAAATAATATTTGAAAAAAATAAATGACACAAATAATACTCTTGTTATCTTCCCAACAAAAATATAATTTTTTGCTGCACTTAAAAAATGATGTGGTCTAAAATCACATCCCCCTACCCTCACTATAAATAAGTAAATTGTTGTAAATTGGAGTCCTCAATGTTCACCAAGCATCCATCAATCAACCAAATATGTAAAATATGCAGTAAAGAGAACAAGAAAAGAGAAGAAAAAAAGTCTATCTTTTATTCATCGGTATTCACTCTTTTATAGAGTTTACAAAGGAGAAAATCCTCAAACCTAATCCTACTAACTAATGGACTTCAGGCCCAATTATATATTAGTAATGTCCATATTAATATACTTATAACACTCCCCCTTGGACATTACTACATGTCTCATTAAAAACCTTGCAATTAAAAACCCAACATGGGAAAAAAAAATTATGCAAGGGAAAAAGAGTACATGATTTATAAAAATTTATGTGTTTTACTAGTTGCCTTGTTAAAAACCATAAACCCATTGGGAAAAACTTAGTTAAAGGGAAAAAGAGTACAGCATTTGGTCTTCAGGACCTAATCTTCATGATTATTTTGAGTTTTTTCCTCCCCCTGAAGACAATAGTCTTCTCAGTTTACGCATACCAATATCATAAATGTATTTTTCAAAAGTAGATGTAGGAAGGGATTTGGTGAATAGGTCTGCCAAGTTCTCGCTAGACCTTACCTTTTGTACAATGATCTCACCGCTCTTCTGGAGCTCGTGTGGATAAAAGAATTTTGGAGCAATGTGTTTTGTCATGCTTCCTTTGACATACCCACTACTCATTTGTAAAACACAAGCTACATTGTCCTTATAAAGGACAGTGGGGGTTATATCATTTGTCAT